CCAGGATACAAGTTTTTGCTTCAATTGGACATATTTTTACTGAATTTTAAAATCAATATATCATTAAAAATTCGTTTTCATATGCTCCCGGATGAGAGCTAGGATACTGTGTGCACGGATTGGCTCCGCATACGGTAGCGATTGTGCTAATTAGCGTTCCTGGCAACTCAAAACCTCTATAATTACGCTTCGGCAAGTGCAGATAGATAAGTTCTTTCCCTTTAGCTTGCTTCTCACAAGGGAGGTCCGATTAGTCGAAGTGACCTTTCCAAACGAATCTTATACCACTTTGAAGAGCATCAAACGGTGATTCTGAATCTGATTTGTTTATCTGCCGAGCGCCTCTGTATGCCGAATTATTTTTCATAGTGCGAAAAATGAACGCATAATTTAAGTAGAATCAGATTTTACGGTCTTTTTGGCGCTCAGATAGAGCAATGATAACACATTGGCGACTATGCAGATTCTTAGCTGTTTGCCTTGTCGGACCAAGGCCTTTTTATGGACCAGCTCACTTTTTCAACTATAATTACGCATACTGCCATCTACAGTACACCTACAGTAGATCCGAAAAGCTGACAAAAAAGGTAGAAGTCATCCCTGGATTTTTTGCAAAAGAAAGTTTCATGGAATAAGTTTATTTCATAATAGTAGTCATTTTACCAAAATTCAAGCTTGACACACATGGTGTGTCAAACGGTCCCACGCGGTAGTCATTGTTTGACACACCATGTGTGTCAAGCAGCGTCAATGTGTCAAGTATGAGTGTTTTGGACAGAAGGCATCATTCAAATGGAGTGATCTGATAATCAACATTGGACCATTCAAACAATTCTGACGAGTTTTGTACTAGTCATGCATTCAATTTTTCAACTCCATAAACGCTCATAACTCGACGTCCAGAGGCGCTCGGCAGATAAAACAGATTTGGAATCAGCGTTTGGTGCTCTTCATAGTCGTAATAATTTCATGTGAGAAGGCCATTTCGACCAAACGGACCTTCCTTGTTAGAATTTCTAAAATCAACTTGTTAATGCTAGCAAGTTGAACACATTTGATCAACTCAGACCTCATAGAACAACAACCGATAAGCGAATCGGATGTTATTCGATGCAGTTTTTTCTCATCTTTCCACCAGTCGCTTTTTGTTTCTGATTTATATAGCCTCCGAAATAAAACCATCAAAATTCAGGTTTCTGAGAGAGCGCTGTACCCGGAATTCTTGAGAGTTGCTAATTTAAAGCGGTAAATGCTTAATTGCTTTGAAAAACAGTGTTAAGCCATAATCTTTGTAGATTTCAAAATCCGAAGATTCATTGGTGTCTGATGCATTCTGTCTAAAACAAGCCCGCTAAATTTCGGTGGTTCCAATAAAAAAGTCTATAAAAAATTAGGACGAGCTAAGGAAAGTAGAAAAAAAATCGTGCTGTTTTCCGTTGAAATCGTTCTTCAACGATTTTTATCTATTTCGTAAAGTCCAAGCTACGGGTCTGAGAGTTGGCAGAGGGGGGGGGAATGGAGGGTAAGTAGGGATGCTGATTACGAATACAGTTTTAGTTTGCAAACTATCCGTTACTTTTATCGATTTTATCGATTTTTCTTGCAAAGCTCGAGTAACGGGGCTGGGAATTAGCAGGGAAGGGGGGGGGGGTAAGGGGAATGCCACCTTGATGCTCTGAGATACAAAAATCAGCGCCATCTTGCCGTCAGCAGCGATCACAGAAACCGGATGAAGCTTTTCTTCTGCGAGTCACCTTTTGCTATTGGCTTCTTGGAGCGATTAGGTTATGTTTTTTTTGGCAATCAAAAACCCGCTTCACGGTAAACTTTTTGACGTCTGAAAAGAGTACCATCCAGTGGCATGCTTTAGAGAAACGATCAAGCAACTATGGCAGCTGCGCAGTCGGTTCAATTTTATGTCTTCCCAAAAACTGAATTTTCAGCATCCAGAAAAGCTTCATTCCAAGGTCCTGTTCCACGATGTTGGAGACAGTCCTGCCACATATGAACTTCTTCAAAGTCAGCTCAATCAAGCTTTTTCGAGGTTTGCGAAGAAGGCATTTGCAAACGATTTTCCTATCTTTGTAAGTGTTTGCACTAACCGAATTACCACTCCACCGAAATGCTGTTCATTTCCTGGAAACGATGCAAGGTAAAACAGGCTTATTCTGTAAAATTTCGAGAACCTACGCAATCTGCTGGTCAGCCATCCTATCTTCAGCATCTTCGGCACCAACGCTAGTTTCGCTTAAGAAGACATATTCATCTCTTTCGACGTGGCGTGTCAGGCCAATTCTCAACTGCGTCCGTTTACAGACTCCGACTGCTTGCGACAGTAAAAAAGTCATATGTGGATTTTAATTGATGTTTTTTCGATCAATGAGATTGTTCGCACTGCTATTGGCACCAAATCAGCAAAGAAGATATCAAATTCAAGCTCATCTTCTGAGTTCATACTGAATTGAAATGTGTCAGAGGGCGCGGATCACCGACCTACCGATCTTCAGTGGCGGGAAGAAAAGCCCGCGCTGACCCCCTTCGGCAGGGTATAAATACCGGGAGTCAGGAGGAGGCCTCAGAGTCCGCGCTGGAGAAGCGCTAGAGGGAGCTAACTCCGTCGAAGAGAGGTGGATCTCCCCCTTAGATAGAGAGTCTAGTAAACCTGCCGAAGTGGTCAAGAGGGTAAAGCCCGTCGTTTCGTTGTAGCCTTGTTCACGTTACGCATTATTGTTCTTGTTGTTGGTTCTCGTTCTTCTGAGATAAATTGTTAGTCGTTCAATCCGTGTTGTCTATCGATCCGGTTAAAATCGTTATACCACTAGATACCCCCCGGTTACATGGGGGCCGAGCAGACCTGGATCGATTGAAATACACACGGGGCGACTGATATTGACTGTCTCAGAGGCAAAACAGCAGAGAACGCGTAGAACAGGCTAAGAAAACGAAACCAAGAGACCAAAAAGGTGGGAAATCTATACGTCATCAAGGAGGTGACGTACGTAACAGGCCAAGAAGGCCAGATCTAAGATCAACTGGAAAAAAGTCTCTATCATACCATACAGAGCAGGCAGTTAAGGTATAAGGAAGAAGTGATTGTTGATTAAATCATCCACGATCAATAGAGGCGTGAGTATCGACTGTGATTGACTCTCCTCGATCAGCTGAGACGCGCGATTTCGCGTGCGGTGTTGATTAGCGATGAATGTAAAGGCAAGGCAAAGCATTTCGCTGCCGAGTACGTTCATGTTCATGGATACGGATCAGAAGCAAAGATGCGCAGATGATATCCATGAGAGAAAAGCACACTTGATGATGGAGGAGATAAACCTCATCAGGAAAGAAGTGGAAATGCTACCTGATATGGTAAGCAAGGTCCTTAACCGATGTGGGATACCGGTTGATGGATTGCTACTTGAAGAAGAGTTGGAGGCTAAGGTAGCCACAGTGTTGGGTAGGCTGGAAAACCTAACAGCCGAGTTAAACCAGATAGCTGGTCCCAGAGCAACGGCAGCTGCAGTGAGGGAAGGCAGTGTGTTGAGAGGGTCGGATGACGGACCACTCGACAATCATCGAGGTGTGGAAGATCAGTTGCTCAGCTATTTTCAAAGCATGACTTTTCCTGATCCTGGGCCCGTAGTAATCCACCCTACCTGCCGGCATGTCTTGCCGGCAGGTCGCCCTGATCTCGACCTGAGGTCGCCAGAATTTCCAACTCCCTACGTAGACTCGCAAGCCAGACAAATCACCTTTTTCTGCTGTGATACTTTAGTTTTTTCATCAAATTAGTATGGGGATTGAAAAAAAATTTAAGAAATGTCCTCATTTGCCTTTTATTAGGCGCGAAGTGTGAACCTGCCGGCAGGTTCGCGATCTATTTTTGTCGAAAATCGAGATGCCATCTCGCCCTCAGCCTGCCGGCATCTCGCCGGCAGGTCAGAGAGAGTACGAAATAGTGGGCATTTGGTGGAGTGCAACCTGCCGGCATCTCGTCGTGCCCCTACCACGACGAGATGCCGGCAGGTCGCACTCCACCAAATGCACACTATTTGGTACTCTCTCTGACTTGCCGGCATTTTCATGACATGCTGTGATTTTTTCCCGCATCTTTTAACGATTTTTTTATTTTTATTATCTTTTCTTTGTAGATGAGGCATACTTACAACCCCATAATAGGTGATAGATATGAAAAATCGCTGCTATGATTACTGTTTCGATTCTGTTATCATAAAACATTGCTGGTATGATTATTCCGTTTCGTTGAAGAGAAAACAAGCGTTGCTCGCTTTTTCATTTTTAAAGGCTTTCATTTCACTTGTATGTATTTTTATAGGTGAGCAGACAAGTGGCTATCGTATACCGTCGATCATTATCCCAAGAGACCTCATTAGGTCCTTTGTGCCGTCGCGGATTCGGCAGTGGCAAGGTACTTTTTCAAGTTTTGTACTTTGGTGAACCTAGTGTGTTAAGCACAAATCACTTTATTTGAGGGTATATTTTTTATTGTGAAGGTCTGTAACACACCCACCTACTCATATATAAGTTTCTGAAAAGTTAATGTGATGCCGAGTACTTACGATCTGTTTATCGTTGGGCCGAAAAAGCTCAAAAAAGCCCGAAAGCCCCAGAAAGAGTCTGAACGCCGCTTCCGTTTTGACGCTAAGGCATGTGTGTTGATTTTGCAACCGAGTCTTTTCGTTTCATTTTCTGTCGTCTGCACATTAAGATAATGTCAGAATTTTACCATAAGTTCGTTTCTGCGTTCCGGAGTTGTAGCATGATATCTTTTCTGCTTTTCTGCAAACATATTCGTACTGTTTACCGGTTCTCGTTTCTTAGGATAAGCGGAGCTTTGAGTCATGTTGAACGTGGCTCGGAGTGTTAGGCACGCCTTGAATTTTTTTGGTATCCCCCAAAACTTTTGCTGTCCATAATCCCAACGTTTTAAAAAAAGATGTGGCGCGCAAGAGGTTCTTTACCCACAACTTTTTAGGACTTCGTCTATGCTAGAAAGAAAAACACGGCAGTTGCGAGCGGTGCAGCAACAGTGCAGCGCTTTGCGGCCGCGCAGGCTTCATGAGCGATCAAGAGGTGCTCACGGCACCCGTAATGGTTTTCGCAATGATCGAGAGCTTCTCGAGGCAAGTTATAAAGCAATTTTATGTTTTGTAATGATTGCCACCATTTTTGTTGCTGCTTGCACGCCCTTTTATGATGGATTATCCTTCAAATTCTTCTTTTATTGCATGGTGTTTACAGAAATAATAAGCAGAAAAATCTTGAATGGGTCGTTCTTTGCACGTCATATTTTCATATTTGAAGCAGATCTCATCACATGTGATAAAATATCACTTAAGCTGCTGGCTGTAGGTGTTGGATCTAGAATGTGCAGCATCACTTTTATGAAGTCTTGATTGCCTCTAGATTGTTTCGGTGTAGAACGACTGCATTTTACCGTTATTGGACATACCTTCTCATTATAAACCCGTTTCATTTATTGAAGTTGTCAGTCAATTCTGTTTCGATGAAGTCGAGAATCAATTTCTAGGATCAACATTATGTTTCCATGTTTGATTCTCACTACTCAAATACGATTTTCAGTCCCACTGCTTGGTGCACAGATTAGCTTGGAGTTTTTCCAACGTCGACCACGTCCATGGCCACTAACAACGGAATCTATAGCATGGGAGCGATGGATATTACTTTTGGACATTTTCAAGGCTAATTCTTATGGTGAGCTAATTGCTTGCACGCCATTGGCCATATCTTTTACAAAACGTGGCATCATTGGTTGTCCTAGTTGGTCTTGGTTTAGTTGTCCATGGCAATTGTTGAGCTATATGAAAGCTTTCATGTTTTTTGTGCTTTCCGTTTCGATCTTGAATTCTGTCTAACATTCTACTTGCTCACGCACACATTCCAGATGATCATGCACGGATGCGAGTACCCGTAGCCGAAAGCGTCGGCGAAATTGTTCTTCAAGTGTGCAGTTCCATAAATCGGCAACAGTATCTACCCAAGATGCCGACAAGGACGGAGCTCTCAAATGTTTTCGACTCAAATCTTCCGGATTGTCAACCGTATCTCTTCAAAGTCTGTCGCACTCCGATTAGACCAGGTACGCAGCTACTTATTATCTTTCTAAAAAGTTTTTTTTCTCGCTTATTCTGACATTAATCGACAAAGTTCGGTGAGAATGTAGGTTTCATATTAGGACTCTCTATTTTTTAACAGAACTAATAGTCTAAAACGACGCAGTGCATCAAGTTGAAATAGCTTCACCTTTTCAATTTCGGCCGAATAATACTGAAGCAGTGGGATATTTTTCTGTTACTTTGCACATTCACTAATTTTGGAATATATTTTGTCACCATTACAATATGGCACTACAAATCGATAGCTTGACCAGTAGAGTGTTTTGCTTTGATAAACATCATTTCAGAGAGTACCACCAAGACGGGCTGTGATGGAATGCGGCGGTATATACGCGACCTTATGATAAACTAATAATTTGCTTAAGTCAATGTTGTTTTACAACTTGCATATTTTACGTGTCTTTGTTGAAGGGTATACATGTCGCTATCATTTGACAAAGACTGCCACTGATCTGTATCAAGCCCCCGGTTTAAGACCTTGTCTTTCCGCATTTGCGGGTCCACTTATTGTGAATTCGTTTACGATCCAGTTTTAGGTTTTTGTTTTGCTGTTATTGAAGTCGGACAAGTCATCTGATTTCGATCTTCTTGCATTTTGATCAGCCTATCATCTTTGAGATTGCTGATTCGCAAGTTTTAGCTATGGAGCTCTGCTATGTTGTCAGTCGCATTATCTCAATGATAATCTGTTATTCCTTAGTGTACATTGTTTCAATTTCATATTAATTAAAGGTTCATCGTCACTTTTTGTTTGCCTTCACCATTTCCATGTACAGGGCTTTACAACCTGAGTGTCCCACCCGCCCCGCTAGGACGCCACGCTTAGGTCCGCGCAGCGTTCGTGGCGCTGGCTGCGCGTCGATTGAAGCTTGGCGAAATCCGGGCGATACGCAGCAAACGCCGCGCGCGGCCTGAGCGAGGCGGCCGCGTTGGAGGAGCCGCGCAAGCGAAACTTGCGACTCTCAGGTTGAAAAGCCCTGTAAATACATGTGCATAGTTTCTGGTTGTTCGTGTGCAAACCTCATTTTTTTCATTTTGTTCACAAATTACTTCGCTGTGCTTGCAGGCTTGTTCCCGGGAACGGTGATTGGATGGGCGTGCATGAATGAGCAGGCATTGCCGGAGGGGTGGTGTCGAACTTGGGGTCCTTATACTGATGTACGATGTTACCGACGAATCTACTCGACTTTCTAGGCTATTTCTTCGAAATTCTTCGCAGCGATGCCCAAGAAGTTACAATGATTTCCTTCTCGCGGGTAGGTGAACGAAAGCGACTAGTTTGAGGCGCCTTTCGCGGCCAACTGGTCCTTATGCAGTATCGTTGCATGTCGTTTGAGGACCAGCAGCCCGCGGGGGCGGCCCAAACTGGCGGCTCTCGTTACCCTACCATCTTCTCGCAAGTTTTGGGGGGGGAGGGGCATCTAGGAAGGGGTATTACCTAGGCATATTTTGTTGAAAGCGTTTGAGCTGTTTTGGGCTCGTTTCCCAAAGCAGCCGTACTAAGGGGTTCAGTATAGACAAACCCATATCTAAAATCGCATGGAACCGTATTTATCACTGCACTACCTTATTGTTGATTGATACGCTTAGTAAACCATGCCTTGGACTGGTTAGAATCTTCTCGGTTATTGAACTCCTTTTCAAGCCTTCCCACAATTTCAGGCTTATACATCTGAGACACATATGACTATATGCGCAGCTTCTTTACTGGATTGTTAACATCCTGTTCGCTCATTCAAATGCTTGACTCCGAGTTGTTTGTCCTTTCCTTGCCTTAAATATTCTTGGTGCATGTACGCGCAGCTCGTACCTACAGGAATTAGTCCAAAATTGGCTTGACTATGTTGGGTTGCTTTGAATATCTCACTTAAATGCTATGCGTAAACCACACGGGCGAGGATTGTTTTAGACTGATCAGATTGTAGGTGCGCGCTGGCCTGACGCCACTGTCATGATCTAGGACCAGCGGAACTTGTTACGAGCTATCTATGTTCAGTTTGCTTAGTTTCGATAAAGAAGGCTCTCACGAAAAAAAAAACGCTCCTACACGAATGGCTAGCTCAGCGGTGAACATGTACCTATCTGTGATGAACATGTTAACGCGAAGGTGACTGGTGAACTTGATCAACCTTTCTGGGATGGATCGTAATGTACACGTGTAGTTCAGTGCTTAACGTGCTGACTATCGTTGGCGAGAAGAGAGTTCCATCCCGGCAGGTGCAATGGTTTTGCGATCGACCTTACATTGCACAGTGACCTGTTATATCGGGAGGCTCTAGGAGCTCGCTAACCTCGCGCCCCAAAAACGAGCTTGTCGTGAGGTTCGCGAGCTTGCCGTCATGTCTTATGCCAACATGCGGGGTAGATTACTACGGGCCCTGGAGTTTTCAAGGGCTATGAGGATGAAGACTTTGACAGGTTCATTCGAAAGTTCAAAAGGAAGTATGGTACCATGGTTCAGGATGAAAAGTTGCTGATAGAGATCCTGGGTGATAAACACTTGGAAGGAAGGGCAAAGTCCTTCTTTCTGAGCATAGCCATGGGAGTAAGACAGCAAGGCTTTGACAGAGTAGTGAGGGAGATGGCTTCACTACTGGCCTGTGACTCCACAGTAGCTAGGTTAAAGGCACTGACAGCCTTAAGGAACATGCGCTTAAGGCCAGGCCAAGAGGTTGCAGACTTCTGTGTCTCCCTCGAGAACCTAGCAAGGAAGGCCAATCCTCAGTGTACCATTGAGGAAAGATCGGTGGAGTACGCACAGATTCCGCTGAAGAATCTGACGTCATGGCCGGAATACGTACAGCTGGTGGGAACCCTACACCAGGTGGACCCAGCCGAGGCGTATAATAAGATAAAAGAAATAGCGATCAAGATCGAACAGTCGCGAAGACTTTGCAAATTTGAGAGGAGGAGTGAACAGCAAGCTCCATCCTGGATTAAAGCAAGTAGAAACGGGTATGTGCCAGCTAGGACGCAAAGTCGCGGCAGCTCAGCGGAGAAAGGCGAAAGGGAAATTGACATGAGATGGCAGGAGCCAACGAATAGCTCGAGTGCCTATGATGAGGATCAGGAAGACAAAAGATGCTTCAAATGTGGTCGTTTCGGACACGTGATGAGAGATTGCAGGTACAGGGAAACGGAGAATGAAGGCGTCATCAAGACTTCGAATAAAGTGACATCAATGATAAGTAGGAGCCGGAACATGATCGTAAAGAGCTCCCAATCCGACGCATACGGACTTGTTGGCGGGATTACATTGAATCGAGCGAGAATGTTGGGAAGAAAGCTTTCGACACTTCTAGACACGGGTTCAATGATAAGTATACTACCCGGCGTGCTTATAGAAGCGAAAAACAATGGGTACGATGTCGAGTCACTTCAGACTTTCGACATTGCTGAAGGAAGCATATACGATGCATCCAACCATGTGATGAGCTTGATCGGAGGTGTAAAAGTAGAAGTTGAACTAGAAGGTGGATGCAAGAAGGAAGTGGCTTTCCATGTTTTGGACGATGAAGACAAGGAAGTACTCATCGGCACAAATGCATTGAAGGATCTAGGAGTGGAGGTAGTGATACACAAGAAGCCTGAAGTCAAAGTAAAAGCAAAGGATAGGATGGTGCCTCCACACAAGAAAAACGCCGTCTCAGTAAGAGCGAAGATCCAACAAGGTACCATAACTGCGAATAGATCTAACTCAGGGGAGGACAGATCTGTAACTGTCAACAAGAAAACTTCCCTTGAGAGAAAAAGAGATGTCAAAGCAGGCAAAGGAATCTGGTCAGAGGAAGCTTGTGAGCACAAATGGAAGAAGTTGACATGTAGGAAGGGCAGCAAGAATCGAACCCCCTCCAGAAGTGATCGGAAAATGTGCGCAGAAGCACAGAAAGGAGTCAAAGTTCAGAAGACAAGCAGTAAGAAAGGACAAAGTTCTGAGAAGGAACGTCCTGTTGCGTTTGTTGCACCGAGATGTGCAATATCATTTGAGGAAGTTGAGCTGAAACAGTGTGGAGTACTGACCAAGGTGGCAGTATCATCCAATCAACTCGAAGAAGCGTTGAAATACTTGAAGAACTGTCGTATGTGGATCATAGTATGGCCCATGAACCCAAGAAGGGAGGATGAGGCTATCATTGAGACATTGCAAATATGCAAGAAGTACCTCGAAGAAAGAGGAAAGATTGTATCCGTGTGGCCGCCACCATTGTTCAAAAAGATTAATATGTGGAAAACAAAGTCAAAAGTGTGGACGGTGATCGAATCAGTACTAAAAAATGGGCAAACCCAAATCAGTTGTTCACGTTGGCTCCCTCAAGGACAGAAAATAGGAAGCCATGGGATCAGATGAACCCCAAAATTCTTTTCAGGTATTCGACACGCATTTCAGGGATGAATATGCGCGATTCCTCTACAACGCCATCCGCAGGAGAGTTCCTGGTGCAGAACTCAGCAAGTTGCAGCAGCCGCCGAGGACGTCGGCTCCCCGGAGGGGAGGGATGTCAGAGGGCGCGGATCACCGACCTACCGATCTTCAGTGGCGGGAAGAAAAGCCCGCGCTGACCCCTTCGGCAGGGTATAAATACCGGGAGTCAGGGGGAGGCCTCAGAGTCCGCGCTGGAGAAGCGCTAGAGGGAGCTAACTCCGTCGAAGAGAGGCGGATCTCCCCCTTAGATAGAGAGTTTTTCCTAGTAAACCTGCCGAAGTGGTCAAGAGGGTAAAGCCCGTCGTTTCGTTGTAGCCTTGTTCACGTTACGCATTATTGTTCTTGTTGTTGGTTGTCGTTTTTCTGATATAAATTGTTAGTCGTTCAATCCGTGTTGTCTATCGATCCGGTTAAAATCGTTATACCACTAGACACCCCCCGGTTACAAATGGCTGTTCTTCTTTCTTTGCATTGCTCATGCTTGCGGTACGCAAATCCCACACTAGTGAGCACTCTTGCTCGCATAAATTATTACAAAA